CACACACACACACACACACACACACACACACACACACCAAAAACAATACCTCCATTTTTCATGGAGGTAAAATGTTGTGACATGGAGAACTTCCTCATCATAGTGGATTTTGTTCTTCGTACTTTCAGGGATAGTGGATCGGCAACAATTCACGCTACAGCAGGAACACTTATATCCCAAGGCTTGGGTCGACAAGGTCAAGAACGAGAATTTAAAGGCGCTGTCTAAGATGACGACTGGTCACCAAAACTTTGCGGTTTTCGTGGAGCGAGTCGGCCATCAAAAGGAGGACATGATTGTCAACTGCGAATGGAGAGGAAGCCCGTAAGTATCTATTGTTGTTATTTTTACTTGTGATGTAAGTATTTCTTTATAAATGTATTTACTGTACCTTTTTTGTGCCATGCGATTAGGTCATTTTAAACCAATGTATGTGTTTGAGCCCTGGAAGATCAGTGATTTTTTTATTTTTTATTTTTTTACTTATGTACCCTTGTCTTTGCTTGTTATCTGAGTTACTGGCGCCCGTACTGTTTAAAGTGTGCATGAGTGACAGAGGGTAGTAAAGACAAGACAAGTTAAGGAAAAGGCTTAGGATAATGTCACAGTGGTTGATGATATTGTTTGGGATTCTCCAAAACTAACATATGCTTCATATGCTCCTATCATTTTTCCTAGATGCTCGGCAAAAAATTTCACCCACACCTTCACGCATCTCGGCAACTGCTACACATTTAACGGAATGACTCTCTCAAGGAAAGTGCTTTCTTCTAGCAAACCAGGGGAAGGTAAAGTAGTTCTTTTCTGGATTTATGTGTAGCTTTATGTGCCCACAATAATGTATTGTAGCTTGTTTCCACCTCATCATATATCTAAAACATATAGATGGGTCAACTGATTTTTTCAAGATGGCCGACACATGACCTCACAAATAAACATGGCGTCGCCAATTGACCCAATGAGGAAAACTGTGCAAAAAAAAAACTATGAATACAAGTCCTTTCCAACTACCACACCTGACATTCTATCCTTTCGAGTGATATGAACATAGGCATGTGAACTAAAGAGATATGTATTATAATATATGGGAATTTTAGTTTCCCCATACTAACTTGAAATGGGCCAAAGGAAATCTTCTTGAAATTTCCTTGTTTGGTTCATTTGGTTTCATCTGTGGCACCCACTAAAGACTGAATTCGTCCCATTAATTGTAGGATAGCACAAGTAAGATGTGTCAACTTTCTATTAAGAAATATTTCATCCACTGCTTTCTGCTTACAGTTTAGCGTTACTCTTTATTGACAATATTCGGACTCGTCACACTCAGGTGCATTGAGGCCAACATTTGGGCCGTACGCCAACTGTTCAAACAATTCGTCTTCATAAAAAGAACGGCAGTGGTCTCACTCTGATGGAGCCAGACTTACATATTGCCATAGACAGCTGTTTGGGAAACACTAACCCCTACAATTCGTTCCTACTTTCCACTTCGATTGTTGTACGGTCCACTTCGATTGTTGCACTCGAATGTACTCGTACAAATTCATTCCACACAAGCAAATCATTACAGGCTCTACCACAAAATCTTGTACATTTGAAACAAAGCACATTTTTACCAGTATACAGCGTTAGCTTAATTGCTATATATATTAAAACTGAGGGAAAAGACTTCAAATTTCCATGCAAAGTAAAATAAAAAAGTAGGCCGGGCGAGGTCGACCAATGAGAAGCCTCCATTCCCCATCGTTTATTTTGAATAATTTATTTGAGAATACGACACAATTAAACCACAATTAAAAACACAATTAAATCACAGCATTTACACCTCGGGGTGGGGCATTAACCCTTTATGAATAGATTATATATTGTTGAATAATGTACTAGTAGACTTAACAAAAAGAAACTGGTACTGAACTGGTGTTTATCCAATGAAATTCGTTTGTAGGCAATGGACTTAAAGTGACCATCAACATCGAGAATGACGAGTACATGGCAACCAATGACGTCGCCGGAGACGCAATGGATGCCGGGATAAAGGTCATGGTTCATCCCCAACATGAACCGCCATTTGTAAAAGAGTTAGGCTTTGCGGTATCACCAGGGTTTCACACGTTCGTGGCAATCAGGAAAGAAGTGGTGAGTACTAGTATTAGTATTAGTAGTAGTAGTAGTAGTAAAAGTAGAAGTAGTAGTAGTAGAAGTAGTAGAAGCACTAGTAGCAGGAGTAGTAGTAGTAGGAGTATTAGTATAGGAGTAGTACATGTACATAGTAGTAAAACGTGTTGTAGTAGTATTAGTAGTAGGAGTAGTAGTAGTAGTAGTAGTAGTAGTAGTAGTAGTAGTAGTAGTAGTAGTAGTAGTAGTAGAAGTAGAAGTAGTAGGATCATTACATTGTGTCTACTTTAATACTTTGTTGCGCGTACAATCCAGAATAATGTATTTTGCTCTTTTTGTAGCAAGTCTGAATACTGGTCTTTTTTTACGTCACTTGATTATTATTTTTTTACAGATAACGACGCTCCCAGCACCATACGGCAACTGTCAGGAAAGGGGTGGCCAGAAGTACTACCCAGATTATTCGCTGTCGGCGTGCCGGATAGAGTGTGAAACCGAGCACGTCGTACATGAGTGCGGGTGTCGTCTCGTTGAAATGCCAGGTAAGCAGGATAT